GTTTCTTATAAAAAGGACCGAAGTTAGTAGTTCAGAAAATCACTTTGCTTAAACAAAATGAAAAAATAAGAACCTGCACTTTGTCCTCAAGGATTCAACATAGCCCTTGATCCAAAATAAATCCAATTGATATTCCAGCCCAAAAATAGCATCTATTCAAAATAGCCTTTTCATATCTTAGGCTCCCAAAAGTCATTACTAAAACAATAAACCAAAAAACAATACCAAGGTAGAAAGTTAAAAAAACAAAGTTAAATAAAAAAGTGAAAAAAAAACAAAGGCAGTATGTTAAAAAAATAAATAACTTACCCTATAGGCAACCGTAGCTAATATTAATTGGCTGAGATAGACTAGTAGAACTTTTAGGTCCATCTCCAGCCACAAGTGCAACTCCTCCAACAATTGACAAGTCTTAAATGCATGAGATCAACCAAAAAGATATTAAATTATCAAAAATAACAACTACCATTTTTATTTATTAAATTACCAAAAATAGCAACAATAAACTACTTGCTATAATAGTCTCTAAAATTTCAAAGTCCTTATTGATGGTCTTATCCTTACATTGAAAAATAGAGGGTTTAAACCAATTTTGGGTTCAAATGAACGCTTCAGTCATTTGTGGAGATAAGGAACTTCTGAAGCTGTCCATCACCTTACCCCCAATGTTGAATGCACTTTTGGATGCAACAATTGAAACTGGAACAACAAGTACATCTCTTACCAAAGTGGACAATATTGAAAAACATAAATTGTTTTGTTTTTATCATAATAGAAGATCAAATTTATCATTAAAACTCAAGTATGATTCAACAATATACCTCTTAAGTTCATTTTGTTCATCAATTGAACTTTTCTTCTTAAATATTGTTGGTAAGCATCAGCCCTTGCAGAACGGGCTGCAACTTGAGAAGTAGAGGTTTAAGCTGAATTCTCTTGTAAAAAAAAAACTTGAGAAGATTGTGTAGCCCTATGTTGTCACTCTGGGAGGGCAACATACCAACATACAATTGAAAAATCTTATGTTTGACATTAACATATAGTTTCCTTACTAAATCTGTGTCTTTTGGATATGTATCTTTAAAAGACCACTCAATATAAGTCAACTTGTATCTAGGATCAAGAATCACTCCAAAATGAAGAAGCTAATTTATGTGTTCCACTTGACCACTCAATATACTTCTTATACTTCTTTTTCATCTCTAACCCCATGTTGGCAATAATTGTGTTCATATTCATTGCAGAATGATTCAATTCAATGAGAATTTTAGAAAGTTGGTGAAAGATAATATGAATAGTGACATGGGTAGAAGCAAAAATGATCTTTGTTGCATCATGAAAGATTTTTAGAAACTTAACAAAAATCCTTGCATTCTCTTTATTACTACTACATAGAGGAGCTACACTTGTAAAGAAGGGCTTAAAACAACTATCTTCAAAATTTAACTTCTCAAACACAGCTTGAAACTTTTCAGCAACTTCTAGTATGAGGTATGTTGAGTTCCAACAAGTGGAAACATTGAGACATACTAGCTTCTTACAAGGAACACACTCCTTAAATTTGGCTAGCCTTTGAGGAGCTGACCGCACATATCTAATAGCAGTTTTGATGGTAGATATAAAGGCATGCATATGCTTTGAACTATCATTCACCACTAAATTTAAAATGTGTGCACACTTCACGTGAAAAAATTTTCCACCTAAGATTAGCCCATGGAAGAGCTTCAACCTATTCTTCAAATAGTTGACAGTCATATCATTAGAAGATACATTGTCAACAGTAATAGTGAATATATTTCTAAGTCCCCATCTCTCAAAATTTCTTCAACATGCATTCCTATGGTTTCACCTTTATAATTAGAAACAACTGAAAAGTTAATAATTTTTTTATGGTAGTTTCACTCCTTATTAATAAAATGAGCCGTCAATGTTAAGTAATTTAAATTTTGAATTGAAGTCCATCCATTAGTAGTGAGTGTGATTCTATTGCAATCAGACATAAAAAAGCTTAAGTCTAATTTTTTTCATCCAAAAATAGGTGATAACAGTCCCCATGAGTTTTTGGCGACATGGAAGGGTGAATTAAGGCTGAAGTTGATTGACAAGTAACCTAAATCCCTCACCTTTAACTATTCTAAAAGGTTGTTCATTGAAAATCACAAACTTTGCAACAACTTTTCTACAAGATTCTAAATTGAATCTTAGGCTGGCCACACCAAACATATTACTATCAGACCAAAAGTCAGAACAATTTAGTTTGGATCACTAGTAAGGACATGTGTATTTACAACAAGTACGAAGATGTTTCATGAATTTTAGAGTGACAATAGAAGGTTTTTTTGCAATAGTTGCAAGTAGCCTGAGGCATGTCATTATCAGTTGCTAGAGGTAGTTTGGTGAAATAACCCCAAACATCTGAAATCAACTTGGGAGCACTTGCGTTTACTCTCCTTTTCTTCACTGGAGCATTTGGAAAAGGAACACTTGCATTTGCTCTTCTCTTGTTCGTAAGAGTATTTGCATATAATGGATTTCCACCATGATCTACACAGGTTGATGCAGAATTAGTGGAAAAAGTCAATTGGTTTACTAGTTGTTGGATTTCAAGAGGCATGTGCTGACCAGACTCCTCCATTCTATTTCAATGGAAGAAGCCTAGGTCAACAAATACTAGTTATATTTAGGTGTTGATGAACATTACTTAAATTTTTCTTAATTATTAAAAAATTCTTATGTATTAATATCTCATCATTGATCTTAGGCATGTTGTCAACTCACAATAACTATCTTAGAGGCAATCACTTAACTAACAACGAGAAGAAGATGGAAAAAGAAGGTGGAATAAGCAAGTAGAAATCTCAGAAAATATTATTGATTACAAATAAATCAAGAACTTGCAGCATACATAACACACATAAAAATCTCAGGCTGCAGCCATCATTGATCAGAGAGAGAAGAGCAAGTATTAAGACATGAAAGATCTTAGAAAACATCATCAATCAGAAAGAGATTAAGTTCTCAAAAACTATCACTGAACAAACAATAGAGAAAGAGGGGGCAAAATAGGCAGGTGAATGAAAATCTAAGAAAACATCACTTATTAGACTGAGAATAAAGATATTCAGCATACATACATAGAATCAAGGCAAAAGCCATTATACATCAGAGAGACAATAACATGCAATGATATCAGAGAATACATTACAAATATATAACACAACAATATACATGTATCTCAACTCAACCATTTTCATACAACCAACCAATAATGGTAGATAATATTATATAGTCAACAAATAACCAAACCATACAGTATAATAATGTACAACCTGAACTCCAAAATGCTAAAGTTCACCTACCAACGATAAGGGCTTAAGGTAAACAACAAACACTCCAAAACCACCTCAAGCTAACATCACCTTGCATCAATTCAACATAACAAATTAAAAAAAATAGAAATATTAAAAACTAAACAACTCAAACTTTGTTTCAAACAAAGTAAATATTATTACCTGAGATACAAATGATTGGGCAATCGATATGAGAAAGAGAGATATCAAAAAAGAAAGCTATTGAATTTATTTGCTAAAAATTATTTTAAATTTAAATGTGAATTATATCTTTTGTACTATATATATATATATATATATATATATATTATCTCAATAGATAAATCTATACAGCGAACAATGATGTATGTTGATATTGATCCTTTATAAAAATGGATCATGACAAGTAATATTAACTTTTAATTTATAATTCTCTATTTTTCAAATTTTCTATGCAAAATAAAAGGTTGAGAAATTTAATATAAATATTTATCTTACTCAAATAAATGAATGTACATTTAAAAATATAAAAATCTATCTAATTAAATTTTTTTATAAAAATAACATAAAAATATATTTATCAATAAAGTAAATCATAAAAATATAATTTTTTCATATAATATTGACTTAGATTAAATAAGGTTTTTTATTTAAGTTCTTGTATTTGCAGTCACTTAGAGAATCTGATTTTGATAGAGGTAAAAACTTTATCATAAAAAAAATTAACTAATGTTCTTTTTTTTTTTAAGGTCTTGGAGAGTAAAAATATATGACTCTTAAGTTTATGAGTTGTTGTTTTAAAATATCTTGAAGATTATGTGTAAAATTTTGTTTATAATTTTTAAGTATTTTAGTTTAAAAAATTGATGTATTAAGATACAATTAGTACTTGTGATTTTTAAATATTTACTTTCTATCTTACGTATCAAACTTTTGTATTATTATGCTACTTATATAAAATTATATAAACATATTTTTTTATAAGTTCTTTTTTCTCAGACAAGCACGAGTAATAGATATGAGTATAAGTATATGGATACTCAGAAGGTACGAGTATGAAAATTAAAATTACTATCTATGCTGATATAAAATTGAGTACGAGTATTTTTTTAAAACTCATACAAAGAAATAGTTCACAATAACTAGAGAGAATGAGAAGAGAAAAAGATGTTATTTAAATTTTTTTAAATAATAAAAAACAAAAATAAACTATTTTAAAAATATTTAAAACTAACATCATCTTATATTATTTCATATGTTATTTAATGTGACAAATCATCATTATGCTATTTTATAACAACTAAAATAATTAATAATTATTAATTTCAAGAACTATCATTTAAAATTTTAAAAATTAACTTTAATTATTTTATATATTTCAAAAATTAAAACAAAAATTTATCTAATAAATATTTTTTATATGATCATTTAATTATACATTATTATATTATTAAAATATTTTATTGTATAATAATTAATATATAAATTATATTTATTATATATTTTAATTAATTAACAATATAATTTTTTATATCAATAATATTAAATTACATTCATATGGGCCGGGCTCAATCTGAGTGAGCCCAGCCCATATTCATAATAACCCTAAGTAGCAAACATATATTTTTAACCAACATTTATATGAACAACCTTCTCTTGATATTTGTTATTAATCCTACTTTTTTTCTTGAAGAAGATCCAAGGGGAAGGTAAGAGAAATATACCAAGAAGCAGAGGCGGCTTTTTATTCCGATAATTTCCCCTTTAGTAACCTTTTTAGCGTTGTACTTCTCAGTTCTCTTCCCTTTCGATACTTCTCTCCCCTTCTCCCATGTCCACTTCCATTTGCAGCATTCAAATCTAACTCCACTTTGTGTCACTGATCAATGCTCAACACTCTCAGGTTCCAGGTTCCAAGTTCCAACCTCGATCTTCTCTCTCCTCCCACCGTCACTCTTCTACGGTTCTGTTATGCCTCAGTAGCCAGCTTAAGGCCATGATCATTAGGTAAATCTGCCAACACAAACGCCAAATGGTCACACCCCTTTACACCTTTGGCCAATTCTCTGCATCCAAATCACTCTATCATCTGTATCTGTAAATGTTCTCTCTTGATCAGCTGGTCCCTTTGTTAATTTTGGTTTGCGTTTGTATGATCAACACTTAGAAGATGGCAAGCTAGGATTTTTACTAATACCCTTGATTTTTAACAATAAGAAAAATAATAATAAATCTTCGAAGTAGGGAATCGAAGTTCATGGAAGGATGGTCGTCTTTGTCAAATGGGTCTTCCTTAGATTGCATTGGAGTTGAAAGAGTGTTTGCATTTCATGATAATGATTGTTTCCTTGTAAAAGATCATGTTGATAATGCTGCTGATAATGACAAAGTTAAACAAAAATGCTCGTTCTATCAAAATTTTCCGGATTACCTGAAGGATAGTTGTTCTAAAGGTTTTGCTCGGTCTGTGCCGGTTGGGCTCGGCAATGGTCAATTGGTGGATTTGTACAAACTGTTCTCCCTTGTGAAGGAAAGAGGAGGGTATGCCGTGGTGTCAGAAAAAGGATTGTGGGGTAATGTGACCAAGCAATTGGGTTTGGACCTTGAACTTTTGGCTTTGGTGAAACTAGTTTATGATAAGTATCTGAATGATTTTGAAAGGCAATTCAGGAACACGTTTGAAGAGAAGAACATAAAAAATGGGAATCATGGGTGTGATTGGGATTTTGAGTCGTTGCCGTTAGATTTGGAGAAAGAGTTTAGAGGTTTATTACGTCCAAATCTAAAGGACAAAGATGATGATGAACTTGTCATGTTAGAATCAGAAAAAATTAGGAAGTACATTGATTTGGTTAGCTGCAACAATGATACTAATATATTGGACACCAAAAATCAAAATAACAAATGCAAGGATGTCCAACAAGTTGATGGTGATGATGATGATGAAAAATCCTGTAATGGCATTAAGGATGATCCTGCTTCCTTGGGTGCGGAAAGTACTAAGAAGGAATTTACTAAGAACAAACGCAAACGGGAAGCTTTAACTGCCATGCTAAACTGGATGAGGCATATTGCAAAACATCCTCTTGATCCTTTAACTCAACCAATGCCAAAACCATTAAAATGGAAGGAGTATGAAGGCCAGAACTTTTTTGGTCAGGTACTGAGAGCAAGAGAGGTTCTGTTGCAGAGCCGGCATGTAGAACGAAATAGTGGATCTTCTTCTTTGCAGGTATAACTTCAATGCACGTGATTATTTTAGCCGTTGGATTTTTGCATGTCTCATTTCCTGAAGCAAATCAGCATGTTTAGTGCGTAGTTATTGTTATATTTTACTTTTGTTAAGCGTTACAGTGTGCTTGGCTGATAACAAAAGAGCATCACAGTGTGGTTAATTCTGCCTCAGTAATAAGTATAGAATCTCAATCCATTAGTTTCTTTCCTATATTAACTATACATACAATCCAAAATCTTACCTTGCACACTGCAAAAAGTCAAGACTTTTACAGTTATCCTAAATTGGATGGGATTGGTCTAGCTTGGAAAAACGCCGGTCCCACATTTATACTTCTAATCTTGGAACTTTATTAAGAGAAAGCTATTGTGGTCGCATTTATTAGTTTTCCCCCCTTTTTATTAACTAGTAAGAAAATGATTATTTGCATTATGAAGTCTCCATCAATAACTTTAAATGCATTAAAGCTTGTTCCAAAGAGAGTAAGCTTTAGCATAACGCTAAGCTTACTGCCTTGTGACTTGGGATTCACGGGTTCAATTCATTGCAACAGCATTTCTGCTTATTGGGGTAAGGATGCATACATCTGATGATAAACCTTACACCAGTGTGAACCTTGTTCAATAAGAACTTAGGGCCTGTTCGTGTAGCTTTCAAACTTCTGTTCTAGCACAATTGAAAAATATCTCCTTCTTACATAACTTGCATCAGAAATTGTGTAAACTCCGTTTGAGGAGTTACACAAACAGGCACTAATAATGGAGGTGCAGAAGTCAATTTCATACATTACCTGTGAAAACACGACTTTGAATCAAATCTGTATTACAAGGTCTAGTTTTCCATATGCAGAGTTCAAGAAAAAAAGGGACCAGAGTGCCAAACTCGGTAAATACCAATAATATATAGGTTGGACTTGGATCCAAGGTGAACCTAACCTTGTAACCCTAGATTGAGCTGCTGCTGACCTGTAGTGTTTACTTAATCAGGTATATATGACTAAGCCTATATTATTTGTTAACCCATTTAACTTTACACACTCTCTTAGAATTTACATAACACTAAAAAGACTATTTTCATAATAAATTATAAAATTTAATGAAGAAAGAAGCCTAAATATACAATTTACCCTTGATATAGATTGCCTTTTGAACTTGCTGTCTAGTTTGACCAAAAATAAAATCAACAGTTTAGTAAAGTGGTTAGAAATATATTGTTAGGAATTATGAATTTGACATGCCAAGTAAATGATTAAATGGCTTGTGTTATGATTGACCATGTAAATAAATCAGTAGTGTCTGGGCTGAGCAAATTTGACACAATGATTAAATTGGCCGAGTTATAATTAAGAAATATCCTAACACGCCTGCCTTGACTCAATCAATCCACTAACATGAATTGACACTCATACTTGAGGGAATTGTTATTTTTTAAGTAAAGTGTCTAAGTAATGCCAAAATTGATAACTGGTTACATTTCAGACCATAAAGGGTGCAACATAGTCAGTATACTAAGTCAATTGTTCTATGTGCAGTAAAACGTGGTGGTTATTGCATATAGATGTTTACCTCTGGTTCACCATTTAAAAAGCCAATTTTAATTTGTAACTAATGAAGTGCCCATTGATAAATACAACCATGCAAGAAAGAGACAAGTAGGAGCAACTTAGACCTTAAAGAGTAAAGGTGTCTTATGGTCAAGGCAAATATTTGTGTACATCTTTTGGCCACTAGATGAGCTGTCAACCAGTACATGGTTTTTATTGATGTGTGAGCAATGAAGAAGTGGAGATAGGTGTAGCAGCAACATTAATATTATTTTCTATAAACCACCTACTATTAATAGTTGTTAATATAGCGCTGTGGGCCGCCACGGGGCATTTGTCATGTCACGGCAGTTGTAGGTGGTTGTCACAGGATACTATTGTGCAATTTTGGAGAAAGGAAGAAACTCCTTTCTGTTTTTTCCAAAATGCACCATTTTGATTATTTTTAGGGGTAGAAAGGTCATTTACCCTTTATAAAATATATATATCAAAAAATTGAATTTCATCTTCCTCCACACACTTCCTCTCTACATGAAACGTTGGGACCTCAACATAGCGGTCTCTTCCCTCCTCACCGGCTCACCCATTCCATTTTGTCAAAAAATCAGCTAATCCAAAGGCTCACCTGCTCTATTTCAGTGGAGAAATCAGCCTTTTTGGCGTCTTCTCTGCTTTTCTATTCACCAGATGAATCAGTTTTTCCAAAGACTCACTCATCCCATTTCATCGGAGAAATCAACTTTTCTGGTGTATGTTCTGTTTTTCTGTTGGAACTCTGTTTTACTATTCACTTATGACTCCTACTTTTCTATTTAGCTTTTTTTTTTAATATAATACCCATGCTATAGTGTTTTGTACTTTTACACTGTTACTTTAGAGTGATGATTATCTATAAAACACTTCTACACTATTACTTGGAACGATGATTATCTAATCTTGAGAATTTCTTTAGCATTTATATTAAAATGTTGTTTACATAACATATTATATATGCATATTATAAATTTTTAAATAGTAGTTATTCTACAATACACTGTTCTGCTATAGCGTTGTAAGAGTCCGCTGCTATTCGAGATCATACATGTTAATAGCGTGCTATACCGGTGCTATCACACTGGCATGGTGTGCATGTTTGTCAATTGCCACTGCCACCACATCGCAGCAGGCAGCAGGTGCAGGTGTTTGCGTTCAAAATAGGGAGATGTTTGCACTGCAATCATGCAATTTGGGGGAAAGAAAGAAACTATTCTATTTTTCATAAAACACACTGTTTGAATTATTTTTAAGGGTAGAAAGGCCATTTACCCTTTATAAAACATATATGTTGATTTCATCTTTCCCACGCTCTCCTCTCTCCGTGAAAAGTCCGAGCCTCACTGACTCACTCATTCCATTTCGCCGGAGAAATCAGCCTGTCTGGAGGCTCACTTGCTCCATTTTGCTAGAGGAATCAGCTTTTCCAACACCTTGTCTCTGGCGTATCCTCTATTTTTTTGTTAACCAAAGAAACTAGTTTTTTCGTCATCTCCTATCTGGCATTTTCTATGTTTTTTGGTTGACAAAAAAAGTTAGATTTTTCAGCATCTCTTCTATTTTTCTATTCACTAGTCACTCTTGCTTCAACTTATCATATGAAAGCATTTTTGTTTAATATAACACATGTTGTAATGTTTTGCACTATTATATGTGCATATTATAAATCGACTAAACCCTCATTTTGGTTCTTGAGATAGTTAGTATTTGCTATTTTAGTCCTTGAAATATTAAAAACTTCATGTTAGTCTTCGACTTTCATTTTTGTCAGATATTTTAATCCTTAAACACAGATACCGTTAACAAACAATAACAAAATGTTAACATGACATGTTAAGTGTTATGTGGGAAGGCTTATATGACAAAACAACGTCATTTTAGAGTGTTAAACATAATTTCCCTATTTCTCTCATAAAATACCCTAAAATTTTCTCCAAATTAGTTTATGTAGATGCACCCCAAAGGAATTTTGCAGAGACTATTAGTATTGGTAATACCAATATTGGGGAAGTTAATTCTTGGTCATGATCAAGGTTCTCGCATGACTGTCAGCATTGGTAGTGCAAAATTTTGGAATGATGGGGATGAACTAGTCAAAGAACACCAGTGCACTACTGATTCTAGTGTAGTTTATTCACAACCTCAGCTAGAAGACCCATCATCATCTAGTATTATCCTGGATAATAATATAAATGTTGATGCATGTCAATATGCCAGCCTTCAAACTCTTTCAGCAAACTCTTTCAGTTGCAAGATTTGATCTTGATGGAGGATCATTGGGTAAAGAAATTTTTGCTCATTGGAAAAAAGCACAAAAGCAAAAAATAGAAACGAAAACAGGAAAGTCATAAAGGACACCATGATGATCTCTATATTTGGAGCAAAACCAATTAAAAAAAGAGAAAAAATGGAAGGTAAAAGAAATGGCAAAACTATAGAGTGATAAAATGAAGAGATCCTCCATAGATTTGTCAAGTAAGAAAGAGACACATGAAGTAGACATTTAAGACAGTAGAAATTTGTTGAACTCAGCGACTATAATTCTAAATTAAAAATCAGAAAGATTGATACCAAACCAAAGGCATTAAACGTAGCTTTAACATAGAATGATTTAGGAGAAAATTTTAGAGTTCTTTGTGAGAGAAAAGGAGAAACTATATTTAGCACTCCAAAACGATGTCCTATTTGCTATATAAGCTTTTTCATGTCACACTTAATATGACATGCCAGTATTCTGTTACTCTCTGTTAACGATATGTGTGTTTAGAAACTAAAATGTTCGACAGAGATAGAAGTCAAGGACTAACATGAAGTTTTTAATATTTCAGGGACTGAAATGGCCGACACTAATTATCTTAGGGATTAAAATAAGGATTTAATCATTATAAATCTTTAAATAGCGGTCTTCCCACTATATGCTATTCTGCTATAGCGTTTTAGGGGTCAGCCACTATTTGAGATAAACAACTATGTTTCAAATAAATCCAAATTGAACTACAAAATTTTTTTCATTGGATTGGATGATTTTTTATGACTTTCCTGTTTTCATTTCTCTTTCTTGCCTTTGTGCATTTTTCCCATGAGCAAATTAGCACTAATATCTGAGTCAGTGACATCTAATACTACTCATTATATATATGCTTAAATCTAAATTTTAATTTTAATAGCTTACATAGTAGTGTGCTCCATATTTGAACTCTATTTGACTTTTCTTATTGTCAAATGAAAGTGTCTTTGCATGACATCTAATTTTATGTCTTTATTGTGGTAAATTTTCAAAGTAGGTCAAGTTTCTTAAAATTTCAAATTGCAACCTATATCATTCTTAAATTGTTTTTTTTTTTTTTTTTGTCTATTAACTCTCTTAAACACTTATATTTCCTTTTCATTTGTAACTTGCAAATTTATTCTAAAACTTTTTTTCTGCATGACTTTTGAGCATCACCAATATGCTCTCTTTCAGTTTGTTGTTTTTGAGTGTCAGTGGCTAGGTCAAAGCAAATGCAAGAAAGCATTATGATTTAGTTTGTTGCATAATTTTATTGTATGTTTTCTAAGACCTAGGTGGTTTGAGAACTAACATCTCCATCTCCATTGCCTTGTTAAAGTTTGTACAGCTGACAAATTAATGATATACTAACATGAAATGGGATAAAAACTTTAGGAGAATCACAACACAAAAATTAATTTGTATAGTTGAAGAGCCTAAAGTCTTATAAATCCCACATTAGAGTTTCATACTTCCAATGTGAGACTCAAGTCTCGTATCTTGTAATTGGGATTCTAACATTCCATCACGCTTTGTAGTCCTGGTGCACATGCAAGTTGGCTATGCACTAACCTTTTGACTTGTCTTGAATAAACACTCCAATGTTGGCATTACTACCCCTGCCGCTGAATTGCAGCTGAAAGACATAATAAAAAACTTTAATACAACAACAACCAAGCCTTATTATCTCAATAGGTGGGATCGGTTACATGGATCACACAATGCTATTGAATTCGGTTAAAAATCAAATTTTTAGAAATTTAGTTAATCAAAAGGTCTCTTTTAATAACTTTGTCTAAGGTTCTTTTAGGTTTTTCCTTGACTTCTCTTTGCCGAAGTAAGAGATAATAAAAAACTTTAATACCAATTGAAAAAAATCTTAGGAGAACAACATTACAAAAGCTAGCTAGCTGTTGTAATTGGAAAGTTCAAGGCTTTATAAACCCTACATTAGAATCTCATACTTCCAATGTGAGACTCAAGTCTGATACCTTACAATTGGAATCTTAACTGAATGATGTCCTCTTTTTCTGTTAATTTCATTAGTGCTTCAATTCCCATTATTTCTATGTGGGGAATGTGAATTGGTAATCTTGTGGAAGAACATGTATATGATATGAGGGTTTACATGGAGGTTGTGGCCTGGATATTGTTGTAGCTTATGACTATACAATAGTTAACAGATGTTTTGAGAAGAGAGTAATATACTTTGATATTCAAACAGTAACAAATGATTCTGCTAGAAGAGAAGATAAAATTTAACTTAGTGTTATGTAGAGAAGTTCTATAGAATTTTCTGGAATTGTATGTTTTGCAGAAGGTGAAGATGCATCCTGCCATGTATGATGATCCTGTCACTCTTGATCATCGTGCTACAGTGAGGTTGAGATGTAGTGAAAGGCTGCCTACCTCTGTTAAATCTCGGTCATGCTCTTGCTGCAATCCATGTTCCCCCAATGGAAATAGATTGGCAAGTTCAATCAATACAGAGGCAGAAAACTGTCCTCTGGAGAAAAAAACCACACCAGATTTGTTGACCGCAAAAATCATGGCTGATCCATCAGGGGATGATGTTCGCGAAAAGCAAGTTTCTGTAGGTCCCCTTTTTCAAGCAGAAGTTCCAGAATGGACTGGTGTAGTTTCTGAGAGTGACTCTAAATGGTTAGGCACTCAAGTATGGCCTTTGAAACATGACACAAAACCTGCTACTGAAACGGATCTTCTTGGGAGAGGAAAACAATCGAAGTGTTGCTGCCAATTTCGAGGTTCTGTTAAGTGTGTTCGATTTCATATTATTGAAAATAGGTTGAAATTGAAGCTTAAATTGGGTTCTGTATTTTACCATTGGGGATTTGATCAAATGGGTGAGGAAGTTTCACTTCAATGGACAGCTGAAGAAGAAAAGAAATTTAAGGATATAATGAGGTCAAATATTCCCTCACAAAAAAAGTTGTTTTGGAACAACCCCTCCAAATACTTTCCAAATAAGACAAGAAGAGACTTGGTGAGCTATTACTTCAATGTGTTTCTTATTCAACTAAGAAGCTATCAGAATCGGGTGACCCCAAAGAATGTTGATAGTGATGATGATGAAGTAGAATTTGGGTCTTTCAGTGATGGTTTTGGGGTGGAAGCTGTCAAGGTTTCAAGTATTGATTTGCTGGAGTGTTCTGAGAACAAGCAGTGCACTGATTCGGAGTAGACAAAATTGTAGTGTAAATTTGATAGTTGGATCTGAACCATTTTGAGGTTCAGAAAATATTTTCCTTGGTCAGACTAAAACTCTCTCCATGGTAAATTGAATGTATCACATAAACTAGAAATTTTGGCATAATATAGGAGGCTATATGGAGAGAAAAATACCAAGCTGGGGCGTGGCTAATGTGTTGAGAGTTTGGAAGCAAATATGGACGTCTCGAGTGTTGTCAACCCATAATGAAGAACTTGCAGAGGCTGCTATTTATTTTGTTGGATGAAATAGCAGTTTAACTGGTTCTTGGAGGCTGCACTACTAGTGCTGTAAGACTAGTTCTTTTAGTCCGAGCTAACGCTTTCATTTATGCTTCTAGTCAGTGTTTTTGTACATTAAATTCATAAATTTTATTGGTGGCATGCTTTGACTTTGAAATTGAACCTTTTTTTTTCTTGAGCTTTTCCTTTGAAGCATGGGTGAATGTAAATGTGCATTTGTCTTAATCTCACTTGAAATTCATAAAAGAGAGGAGAGCTTTAAAGGCTTGGTTCAATTTCTTGTTTTATTTCTTAGGACGAAAAACACATGGAAGGATGGATTTGCGTTTGATTTCTTGGCTGTTGATTCTGCTTCTCATATTTTAGTTTATCTCATTCCTCTTAACATGTTTTTTTTGTTGTCTCAGCTGTTACAAACAATGATGGTGATAATAAATAAATAGGATAATTAGAGTAATAATATTATGATGGTAGAAACAATTATAAGATGGTCGTGATAACAAAATAACAAGGATAACAATCATGATAATGACAATAATAATGATGGTGATAATAATAATTATATTTAAAGATAATTAGAGTGTTTGAGAGACATTAATGAAGGTAGTAATCGGATAATAGTATTGTTAATAACTAGTGATGATAATAATAATGATAATAAAAAAATTATCAAAATAATGAGATAGTAACAATAATGACAAATTATAGTGATAATAACAATAATTAAGTGACAATTGATAATGAATAATGAAGATAATAATTATGAATATAATAAAAATGATGATAGTAATTATTTTTATAATATCAATGATTAAGTGACAATTGATAGTAATAATAATTATAATAATTGAATTAATGAAAATGGTAGTGATGATGTTTAATAGTTTAGGCTTAATTATGTTATTAGTCTATAAATATAAGTCTTTTTGTAATTAGTTTTTATAAATATTTTTGTTAGGAAATGATCTTTTTAAAATTGATAATTTAGAAATTGGTCTCTGTCATTAACATTCTTTCTGTTAAATGTTAATCTGGCTAACATAAAGTCAGCTCAGCCCTCCACGTAAAACCACGTTATATGTTATGTCATTTAATTTTTTTATTTTTTATTGATTAAAATAAATATTTACAAAAAGATACATAAACATGTTTTATATATTTGCAAAAAAGACTTCTTCTTCCTCCCCAAACTTCTCTCCCTCAATATTGACAACTTCACTTCCAATTCACCCCAACCTCCACTCTCATCCCTTCTTCTAACCCTTCCCTCACCTCCACCTTCCTCACCCCAACTCCAACCCCAACCTCCATTCTCACTCGTTCCTCCAAACCCCCCTCCCACATGCCTATTTTTGGAATTTGTATGGGCCATCAATTCCTAGGCCAGGCTTTAGGAGGTAAAACCTTCAAGATGAAATTTGGTCACTATGGAGAAAATTATCTTGTTAGTAATCTTTGTATTGGACACGTTGAAATTAGTGCTCAGGTTCGTAAACAAAAAGATTCTTTTTTATAACTTTTTATTTATTAGTGTTCCACCATAATTTTACTTAAATCCATTTAAATGTAATTAGTGTATTGGAGGAGACAAACAAAATATTTGTTTTAGACTTATATTTTTTTGCCTTCTAGGAAGGTTTGAAACTTGGCCCCATGACTTAAGAAATTTAAACTACAATTGCTTATAAGTGGCTGATGTTAGGGGGGAAAAAATGGTATAAGTTTGGTTTGATGTCTCTATAATATTAACCCATGGGTGAGAATGAGAAATAAACAATGGAAGGAGTAGGAATGAGAAAAAGAGAAAGAGTGACGAAAAGGGGGGGTGTGGGTGGGGAGGGCAGAGGGGTTGGAGGAAGGAGTGAGAATGGAGGTTGGGATTGGGGTGAGGAAGGTGGAGGTTTGGAGTGGAGGTGGGAGAGAGGTTGGAGGAAAGGATGAGAGTGGAAGTTGGGGTGGATTGGAAGTGGGGTTGTCGGTATTGAGGAAGAGAAGTTTGGAGAGGAAGAAGTCTTTTTTGCAAATATATAAAACATGTTTATGGATCTTTTTGTAAATATTTATTTTAATCAATAAAAAATTTAAATGACATAAGGTGACGCTATATGGAGTGTTGCTGTCTTTCCATTAGTCAGATCAGTCCTTAACAGAGACAAGGACTAATTCCTAAATTACCAACTTTAGAAGGACCACTTTCTAATAAAAATATTTGTAGAGACTAATTACAAAAAGACCTATATTTATAAGGACAAAAAATATAATTAAACCAATAGTTTAAGAGTGGTATTTGCTAATAATACTAACCACAACAATGATATCAATAACAATAATGACAATAGTTGTAAGTACTCAAAGCAAAGGAATAACAATAAAATTGTTAATAAAGAATAATGGTTAGTAGATGTGATAATAAGAATGGTAAAAATAATTGCAATAACATAATATTAACTTAGGAAAGAATGAACATAATTATGATAAAAATCAAGATGATGGCAATTTATAACGATAGCAATAATGAGAATGTATTACCACAATAGAATAATACATAAATTTTTTGGAAATTAAAGACACATATTTCGTTATTTTTTAACTGAAAATAAAAAATTAAAACAACAATTTTTTGTTTTAAGAATTAAGTTAAAATTGCTTCAAAATTAAGGTTAAAATTATTTTAGCTCTATTTTAGGCAAATATATTTTATTTTAAAAATAAAACAAAAATAAAAATTTTATTTATTTATTTATTTTAAGATAAATTACATTTTACATTATTATAATTTTCTATTTTTTAATTCACATTTTATACCTCTTTATGTTATTAAATTTTATTTTTTTTACGTCACACCACAAAAACATATATTATAATGCATATTTTTATTATATTTTGAAATAATATCACGTTATTTATTTAATATGTAAAAAGATCATATAATGTATATAATTTTTAGGGTGGAACCAATATACACTGGTATACATTACAATTACTTATATACTATTTAATCATATTTTTTAGATAATTTATTTTTAAAATTAATTGTTAGATTAAAAATTTTAATTACATAAATTATATATACAAATATTTAGATTAACTCAAAATAATATGATGTTCTATTCATATACATTAATATTATATAATATATAATTCTAAAATATAAAAAAATATACAAAAATAAGGATATTTTGATTATATTCTTATAATAATTCAATTTTGATTAAAATTGATACATATAATTAAGTTAATATGTAATTGTAATTAAATGATTTAATTGATGAAAATAATTTGACAAAATTAGTTTTTTCTTCTTTTAACTTTATAGTTAATTTTGTTTTTGTCGTTTAACCTTTTTTATTTATTTTAGCTTTTGAAGTTTTATTTTTTTAAGTTAATATTTTTTATTAACTTTGTTACATAACCTAATAATGACATCATATGTAACACTCAGGTGACTTTAACTTCATTAACTAGTCTTACTTAGATTTTTGAATTGAAAAGTCATCATTAAAAGCGGATAAATTGTCCCACTTCAGCATCCCTCTCTTAGTCCTCAATGACAATTCTTGCCTAAATTTGTCGACTTCAACTTAGTGAAAGGGCGCAGTATAGCACTCCTTTATGGGAAGATGGTAGAGGCCACAACAGGATCATGGTGGTTATGCACGACACAAAATTAGTGGAGGGGTTCGGGGGAGTAGGTTGGCGATGCTAGTAGAATGCTACAAGTTTTTACCATTCTAGCAATTGAAAATTTAACACTTCAAAAATTATTTTGTTAGGAAGTGAGGATGTCTAGAGTTTGGACTTTTAAGATTATGTTCTTAAGAATTTTACATATTAAAAAAATATTTGAGGTTAAAGGGTGTTGATTAATGGAGTTCTAGGAGGATATGAGGCGAGACACTCATAGATATCCTAATTTTCTGAAAGTTTCAGCCTTAACTACCAGTCTTGATGATTAAAAACTCATGATTAATTTTATGTTGATTATGTATTTTGTAATTGATTATTGAATGAGGGAACAAGTCTTAAAGATTTGTCAATCTTGCAAAATCCTTAATTAACATTTTACTTTTAGCATATCCTGTTTTCTGTCTCAAACTACAAAGAAAGGAAAAAAAAACTATTGCAAAAATAAAAAATTCATATAAAAAGTCAAATAACCCATCATTTACCCAAAAATATAAAATTTGAAGCTCAAAAGTAAATCAATATTTGAGTCATGATTATATCTGTTCAATTTTAGTGTAGGAAGAGGAACCATCGTCCTCTAATCAAAGGAGGAAAGTGAAAAAGAGCAACTTTGTGATAGTGTTGTTAGGATATGAGGATTCAGTCAAGCTTCACCATTTTTTAATAATTTTTAAATAAATAAGACTAGGTAAAACTAATTAACTGTGTCAAGGTCACTTTAACGTCACATGAGATGTTTTTGTTAGATTATATAATAGAATTAACAGAAAAGACTAATGTAAATAAAAACAAAATTTTAAAGACTAAAATGAACAAAAAAATTAAAGAAATATAACAAAATTTACCATAAAATTAAAGGGCGAAAAGTCTAATGTTACTAAATAATTTTTAAATTAAGTTATTAACAATGTAAAAATAAATGTAATTTATAATACATTTATACCATTGATCTCTCTAATTTTTTATTTAAATGTTTACATCAAATTATTAATATATAAAAAATAAATAATTTTAAACTAATTAGTATGTGTTTCTATATTTTTAGTTTAACATACTTATAGCATAAACAATTAAAATTAAATATATTTTTAATAAATAATTAATTTTAAAATAACTCATAATAATTTTTTAAGACTAATGAAACATAAAAAATAATTAATAAATTATCACACATTTCTCATTTTATATTTATTATATATTAATCTATATTTTAATTATTTTATAAAAAATATGCTTATAAATTATATTTATTCTAAATAATATTAAGACTAAACTCTCACTTTAGTTCTTAAGAGAATTTGAGTTTAGCATTTTAGTTTCTGAGACATTTAAAATATTATGTTAGTCTTCAACTTCCTTCTCCGTTATTTATTTTAGTTCTTGACGTCAGACTCTATTAAGAAACCGTAACTGAAGGCTGAGTTGTTATGTGAAGTGCTATGTCAGAATTCCACCTGGCAGAAACACGTCATTTTTGGAAGCTGTCTGGCACCTCTAATAGTGAAACGGTTTCATTGTGATCAGAGGACCCAACTCAATAACATCACCCAGAACATGAATCCCACCTTCCTGACCAATTGTTATCTTCCCTTCTGGTATTGTGCTAAGATTTGCTAAAATAGTCACCGCCTTATCAACCATTCCAGCTGCAGGGTCCATTAACTCTACAAGATGCTTCCCAGCACCGACTTGCACGATTCGATCCTTATTTTCATGAAATATTGACAAATTAAACAAAATAGTGGCAACATCTTTCTTCCTCCTAAGGGTTCCATTCCTTAATAAATCAACTAGTGATCTAATTGCCCCAAACCTCCCTATCCTGATTTTGTTTTCCTTAATAACTGATAAGCTGAAAAGTGTGGCAACTGAGTTCTCCTTAGCTTCTGGACTCCCTGTCTTAAGGACATGAATCAAAGGTTCAATGGCCTCAGCATTTACAATTCCAATTTTGTTGTTATCATTGATTGATAAGTTAAGAAGTGTTGTAACAGAATTTTCCTGAACTATAGTATCAGTTGATTGAAGTAAATCAACTAATAAGTTAATGACACTAAAATTTGAAATCACTATCCATATTATGCTTAACAAGAAGGTAGAGTTCTGCCGTTGCATATCTCTTAGTATCAAGATAATTGTTCTTTAACTGTTCCACTAGTTTCTGAACCTAAGTTTCAGTAGCAGATAGATGGTTCGCATCTCCAAAACAAAAAAATGACTCAATGAATTAAGAAAAAATGTTTTTACTCAATTCTCTATCTGTTGGCCTTTTTCCACTACAACGAACTTCAATATATAAATATTTCACCCCAAAATACAATGACGAACAATAATTTGGGCGAGGTTCTATGTGCACTTAGGGTAAGGTTTTTTTTCGACACAAATGAGGAATTATGTCATTAAGTTAAGGCATAAAGAGCTTGGATCACAATGACATCGTTTCACTATCAGAGGTGCCAGACAACTTTCAAAAACAACGTCGTTTCTGCCAAGTGAGATTCTGACGTAGTACTACGTGATAACTCAGCCTTCTATCACAGTTTTTTAACGAGGTCTGACGTCATAAAATAAAATGAATGACAGAGAAGGAAGTTGGAGACTAACGTGATATTTTTATTGTCTCAGAGACTAAAATGTTGAACTTAAATTCTCTTAGGACTAAAGTGGAGGTTTAGTTTAATATGAAAATAATAACTACTTAATATATTCTTTATGCATTAAATTTGGATTATTTTTTTTAATTAATAGTGAAATTTTTTAATGCAAATAGTCATTCATGCAATAAATATAAAAGTTTATTATTTTATATTTACTATGTTAATTTGCATTTAAATTTTTTGTTTTAAAAATATTTATAAATTAACAAATAAAAAATAGAACATACTTTAGTATATATTTTCAGATAATAAATTTTTAATAGATATTTTTGGTTTAATGATATTTTTTATACTAAAAAGGTGATTCATGTAATAAATATAAAAAAATAAATATCTTTTATCATTTAATATGTTGGTTTTTTTTTTGTTAAACTAATCATTTTTATATTTAATAAATATATCATTAAATATTAATATTGATCAATTTTATTTATGGATACAAACAATATAATATTTTTTATGAAATTAATTATATGTCTTATTTAAATTTAAGTTAATGATGAATAGGCTCTTATTTTTATACTATTATTTTATATATATTTTTAAAAGAATTTAAATCCATAATTTATATCTACAATAATAGTTCAATTGTATAATTTTTATATAAAACAATATTTTACTGTAAATTTTAGTTAATGTTGATTTCCTTCACCGTGAAATAAAGAAAACTTTCGAGGAATATTAATTAATTTCTAATAACGTGTGAAAAATATAAATATTAAAACTTTTGAAGAAAATAAAAGAAAAAATGTTAGATAAAAAACGTTGTCACAAAAAATATATATTTAATGTTCATAATTTATATGTGAATTATAAAAAATTAATAGCTTTTATCATTTAATATATTGGTTTTTATTAAACTAATCTATATTTAATAAATATATCATTAAATATTAATATTGATCAATTTTATTTATGGATACTAAAAATATAGTATTTTTGATGAATTTAATTATATATCTTATTTAAATTTAAATTAATGATGAATAGGCTCTTATTTTATAAATTTTTATTTTATAAAAGTTAAATCATAATTTATATCTACAATTTAATAGTTCAATCGTATAGTTTTTAAATAAAACAATAATTCTACTGTAATTTTTAGTTAATGTTGATTTTCTTCACCGTGAAATAAAAAAAAAAAAAAACTTTCGAAGAATCTTAATTAATTTTTAATAACACGTGAAAAAATATAAATATTAATAAATTTTTAAATAAAACAAAACAAAAAATATCTGATATTTAAATAAAGAATATTGTCAAGAAAAATATTTTATATTCATAATCTATGTGAGTACAAGAGATTTTTTTTCAATTTAATATCTAGTAAAAAATACATGTGATTTAGAAAAAAATGAAAAATGTTGTCATGTATGGAAAAAATGATTTAGGAATATTTTTAGGTATTATAATTAAAATTATAGCATTTTTTTATAACAAAAAATAACAAATATGAAAATTTTTACTGTAATAAAATATTAATTTTAATTGTAAAATAATATAAAATATCTGCATAATTATATTTAAATTTTATTCCTAATAAAATAGACAAATTAAAGCACAACGAATTCATAATTATTTAAAAAAAATTATAAAATACTATTACTTTTATTGTTAAAATAAAAATTATACAAATTAAAAATTTTAATTATTCTATTGAAATTAATTTTTAAAGTTGTTATTCATTTCATTTTTTATGTTTTTTTAAGGATTTTATATTTAAATAAAAAATTAACGCAGTATATTATTATATTTTCACTCGAAGGCCTTCTTAAAGGTTGACTGGTTGAGAGATAATTTATCTTCAGACAAAAATTGTCTAAATAAAAAAATTTATATTACTGTATCATAATTAATTACTAATTTTTTTCTTGGTAGATCTCATTTAGACTTGTAAATTATTTAAATAGTATAAATATTTTATTAAATGATTTTATTTTATTTTTTACGTTTTATGCTTACAAATTTTCTTAATTATTAGTAAATGAAAAGATTATTGAATACTTTCTCCGTAATTTTTTTAAAATGTATTAATTGTTTTATATTCTCTTTTGCAATAAAATTTGTGTTAACATGACATTTTACTATCCACATAAAAAGATATATTTATTATTTAACCTATGAGTCACAAACTTAATTATTTATTGATATTAGAATTTTGAAGTTATAATTTTTTAAAATATATAATAAATTTAATATATAATTACTTTTTGTATCTTGATGAATTAATTAACTATTGTTTATAAATTTATTACATAATACATATTTTTTCACATTCAATTGATAGTCTCTTCTTTATTTTATATTACATTTTTTATTTCGTCTTTTTTTTTTTTTTTCTTCTCTCTTTCTTTCAATTAGTAACTAAAAAACTTACTGCGATTCGTTGTTACACAGAGGTCACAAAAATTTCCATTGGCATTTGACGCTGAATTTGGGTTTGTGGACTGTGAAGTAAGCGTCTCACTCTCTTATATATATCTTTTTACTATTCTATTATTCTTTCTCAAAGTTCATGTTCAAGCCAGCAACCCAAAGAAGAGAGCAAAACACGAACTCTCACGGACAAACAATGTCTTCCCCAAGCAAACGTCGAGACATGGATTTGATGAAGCTGTCTGTAATTTTTTTGAAATTGTTTTTTGTTTTTTCGATTTCAAAAACAGTTCCTTTGTCTAAATTTGGGGTGTGTTGATTGATATGAATCAGGATGATGAGTGATTACAAAGTGGAGATGATCAACGATGGCATGCAAGAGTTCTTTGTTGAATTCCATGGACCTAAAGACAGTAAATTTCAGCACCCCTTTATGTCATTTTATTTTTAATTTTTATTTATTTATTTACTTTTGCTCCCTCATCTGATGATTGTTCTTTTTAGTGTAACCTTTTCTTTCTCTCCGATGAAATATCTTTCTTACTTGTAAGTGTATGTTCTTGAACTCAATGTGTGCGGGGTGTTCAGTGTTTGGATCAGCAGTCAACAGCTGCTGCTGACCTTAGGATTAAGCTTGTTCTCTTTGGTCTTGTACTTAAATAATATATTGATTGCTTAATTGTTTAGCCATTTTCCTCAATGAGGTTGAATTGCATTAGGATCTATGCTTGGTTAATTTTAAAGGTGGTGCTGAATTTGTTGTTTTCTTTTTCTCGTTTACTTTTATGGGAAATGGGAATCATGTGCAGGTCCTTATCAAGGTGGTGTATGGAAGGTAAGAGTGGAGCTACCTGATGCTTATCCTTACAAGTCTCCTTCTATTGGCTTTGTCAACAAAATTTACCATCCTAATGTTGATGAGACGTAAGTTGTTATATGCTACCATTGATTTGATGTTTATATCATATTTAAGTAGTACCGATGCACCATTGTCTTCCGTGGAAACTCTATTGGCTGTTGCACAAACACATTGCAAAACTACTGGTTAATATGGTTTTCCCTGATATTTAGGTCTGGTTCTGTTTGCTTGGATGTTATTAACCAGACCTGGAGTCCCATGTTTGGTAAGCAATGTTTGTAAAAGAATTTTATCATCAGTATACTTGCTATGCATTTAATTCAACCTTGCTTGATTGTTATTGACACTACCTTACAATTTGGTAATCCATTTTTCTTCTTTCCATTCAGACCTTGTTAATGTGTTTGAAGTGTTCCTTCCTCAACTTCTTCTGTACCCCAATGCATCAGATCCATTGAATGGTGATGCGGCTGCCTTGATGATGCAAGATCATGCTACATATGAACAAAGAGTCAAAGGTATTAATCCTAATTGAGTTTCTGCTGTAGAAAACTAGAAAGCTTCTTAACTGTTTAGGCAATCTCTGTTAGCATTAAGAGGGTTTCTTCATCATTGTTGGCTATAACTGCTGTCAGTTTTCATGGAATTTCAGTTGAAGTGCGATATCATCAATTGGTTGGTAAAAAGCTTTGAAAATTCAAGTTTGTGCAAAATGATTTCTGTTTATCGTGTACACTCCCAGCGCTTCAAATGCAAAAATTGATCTAACATAAAGAGTCACTTTTCTTTTCATGAAAGTGCCCCCTAGCTACCAACAGGGGGTTGGTTCAAATAGTGTACATATTTGACTCCCCTTAATGAGGTCTCGAGCCCAACCCTCATTTATGGAAAAAAAAATCCTCGTTAGGAGAACTAGTCCCACCCTACAACAGATGTTTTCGGCTCAAACAAGATTTCCTTATGCAAAGAATACCCGTTCTCTAAACCAAAAAATAGATGGACCTGCCTTAGCTGAAATCACCCCTGAAACCACATATATTGAATGTTTTATGTCCTTACTTGCCAATATGCATATCAACACAAACATGTCCAAGTTTAATTTGGTAGTTCTGCTTTCAGGTTGGGATTGCTGTTGGGAGCTTTGGTGTTATTCTTTCTTTTTGGGTTGCTACTAGGGAATTCAAACTTCTCAAATTGATGACCTCTTTGCTAGCTGATAATTTACAGATACATGCATAAATTCATTTTTTAATTTGCAATGGATTGATAGTGTAGAAGTCCTAGCATTTGAATATACCATACAGGGGCATTTGAAAGAGTTATTTGGGCAAAGTGGCTTATTACCTTCCTATAAGCTTATTTTAGCTTATTTCAATAAGCTTTGCAGTTAAGCTATTGAATAAGCTTACATTTGATAAGAACTTATTGAATAAGTGTTTAATCAAGCTATGTAACCAAATTTGCCTTGACATTTTCATTGCTTCAACTTTTATTCTGGATAAATAGAACATTGCATGGCCTATGTGCATCATATTCCCTTAGGCATTGATCAATCTCACTAACAATAATCAGTGTACACTGGGTGTTTCAAAAGAAGAGTTTCTGAATCCCATACTCAAATGGTAAAATATACCGTGTTACTTTCATGCTATAATGTAGAATATTTTGTTGATAATTGAGCTAATATAAAGTATACAATCCAATTTACGGTCATATAACTTATATTTTGCCCATGCTTCATTTGAATCGTAGATCTGCATTAGAAAAAGTTCCAGTTTACAAACAAAGAAAATAAGCATCTTATTTTTCTAAAGCTGACATTGTTAATATCCAGCAAAATAATGTCTTGGAGATTTACCATTAATTAATTGGAAGATATCCTGAGCTTTAGAAGCAATGCATGAGCGATAACAACAACACAAATTTCATTGGCCATGATTTTGTTTTGTCATTCATTCAAATTTATAGCTTGGTATGTTGCATTGGTGTACTAGTGCTAATATCATTTTCCTTTGCATGGTTTAGTAATTGAAGAAAATGTGCTACTTACACATATAGACATGTATTTCTGTATTGTAAATCATGGTCACAGAAACCTAGATTTTGCAATATATTTGATTCTAGTGCCCAGCATCAAGTGAGACATCAAAGAATCTCAGGAATTTTGGAAAAATAATTGATATCGGTTATTTTTCAAAAATTTTCTTAGGTAGCTAGCAAAAAAATGTCAGTCTAATATCTGTCATATCTCAATCTGTTATACTATTCTATGCACCTGCTTTTATCTATATTAATTTTTTTGAGCCAACGAACAGAATATTGTGAAAAATATGCCAAGCCAGAAGATGTTGGAGCTTCCCGGGAGGAAAGTTCTAGTGATGATGAGGTGGCTGAAGATGATTACGCCTCTAGTGACGAGGCCATTGCAGGCCAACCCGATCCTTAGTTTCTTTTTCATACAAAGCCAACCTTATTACCATCTTGATTGTACATGATATGATATAATTTGATATTGGGTCCTGGAATTGGAAGAGACAAATTATGAAGGTTGAAGGAAAAATTCTTTACCTTTCTATTTTCTATTCCATGGTGGATGTGTAAATTGATTTATGATTTAAATGTTTCAGATTTTTACTTTCGTGACTAGAAGGTTCATTTTCTGAAGGTTCAAGCTGGTTTTACATATGAATACATATATTTAAACTTTAATTAAACTTTGTGCTCTCTTACCAGGATGAAAAATTTATGAAGACCCTTTTCCCGTTTTTTTGGTTCTCTGAGAAATCAAACTTATGTGTGTACTACTTTCTTTCTAAATTTTTAGGGTGTGGAAAATAAAGGGGAAGGAAAATGTTCCCTCGTAGTCCAGATTGGTTGTAAATTGTAAAGGGCGTATGTGTTAGAAAATATATACATATGCTTAAATATATTTTGGTTCTTACATCATTTTAGTGAATTTTGATTTTGGTCCCTCCAATTTATTTATTTATTTTTAGTTCTTATATATTTTAGTAAATTATTATTGCAAGTCCTTCTAGTTGAGGTGGATCAACAGAAAATTGACATCTGAAAATATCATAGTAGATTAAATCAGTAATAGGGTCTAAATATAAAAAAATTCATAAAAAAATAAGGATTAAAATTAAAAAAATATTTGAAGGGACTGAAATAAAGAATTCATCAAAATAGGAAGATTAAAAACATATATATATATATATATATATATATATATATATATATATAGAGAGAGAGAGAGAGAGAGAGAGAGAGAGGTTTGTTGAACAAAAATTTCAAAACAAGGGAATAAATTTTAATTTTTGGAAGTGTTATTTTTATTCTAGTATTTGGTTATGACTTTTCTGGAAAAGAATTTTGTTGAGATAATTTTTTTTTATAATATTATCTGATTCAATTTTATTTTAGATGAACTTTTTCCATTGTATTATTTGTTAAATACATTCACATTTAAATAAAATAAAGTGTGACTAATTTCAGAATACAAACAATGACACATAATCATAAGTAAAGTTTAGAATGTTAGATACACATTATTTAAACAAAATCAATCTTAAACCTGAAACTTTGTTTAAGGAAAATTAAATGTACATCGCCCAAATCACTAATTGATTATTTCCATTGTTTTTGTTACTTAATTAAATGTACTGCAATTAATGTTACTAATAAAGGCATTCGTTTAGAATTTATTTGTTTAACTATAGTTAAATTATTTTCATATTATTAACAAATAAGTATTATTGTAATATATTTAAACCATCACCATATAATAATTAAGAACAAAAGTTAAAAAAAAAAAAACTAGTGAAAAATATAATATTAACATTATGAATAATTTTAAAAATATATTTATTTAATAATTCTTTAACCATTATCTTTAAGACAATAGTTAATAAAATTATTTTTAATATTATATAACATATTGAGTACTTAAAAGGTAAAATTATAAAAAAATAATTATAATTTAAAATTGATATAAAATATCATATTATAAGATTTTATCATCAATGAATGTCGGATGTAGATCTGTAATTTGATATATGATCTTTATTTGAATAAAATGAGCTTTTTTATTGAATAAACAAATTTTAAAAATAAAAAATCAGTTCAAATTTTTTTTTATTATTATCAAATGTTCACTGTTTTTCATTAATTTTGGACTAATTTAAATAATACTTGTAAGTTCTCACCAATTGCAAGATCCAATAACTATTTGAATAAAATGAACAAACACCTGACTAATTAATTAATTTAAATAGGATGATCTGATTTATTTATGTCTCTAGTATCATAGGAACTTTTATGTGAATAGACAGTGAAAGTTGTTCAAATTTTTTATTTGTACATTAGAAATTAAAGAAATTGCTAATTTGCATTTAAGTTAGTAACTGGAGTTGATTACATTCGCCCTTGTAATAAATATGGGTAAATAATTACATGATGTTCTATTACACAACGAATTGCCCTTATAGCTCAGTGGTAGAGCGTCAGTCTTGTAAACTGAAGGTCCGTAGTTCGATCCTGCGTGGGGGCAGTAATGTTTTATGATTTATTTCATATTCATTCTGATGTATGAATCACCGATACAACGAGAAATGATAAGCACAGAAAAATTCCCAGATCTGTCATCAATAATCTAGTTTTGCATGAAAACTATCATCAAGTACAGGCATAAAAAATAAGGTGGCATCATCCTGTAGTGTCAACTCCTTGAACAGCAACATAAAAAATATTGAGGCCTCAGACTTCCATCACATAATAAAGTCTAAAGAATTACTTGGGGTATGCCATCAGTGCAACAGTGGGAAATAACAACTTATGAATAAAAAAGTCCCTATAGTATCATCTACAGAAGGGTAATTAACTTATTATAGTGTTTATATATGAAGAGACACACTAACAATGTGAAGATAACCAAGAGGGGAAGGAATACTTTTAAAATTGGGTATCTCGTATTAGACTTTTAAAAAATATGCTGTTGAAAGTTCCATGAAACGGGAATACAGAACTAGTTTTATTATAAGAATCTTCTGTATAATTCTAGTTTCCTTACAAAATGCAAAATCTAAGCTGAAGCGCGAATTTGAACATTTGCAATTAGTCTGGTGAGTTTGCTTAATGTTTCGCGTGCAGATATGGTATCTGGATGATCCTCACCACAAATTGAAGTTCTGATATAAACAGCCTTCCTGATCAGATCATCCCCGGTGTCAAATTGTGCACCTCTTAGCATTAGCTTGCCCCTAGTCTCAAGAACAGTGGCTCTACACAAAGCCAATTCTTGCCAAAGGCAAGGATTTAACTGAGCATTAGTCTGAATGGTCCTCCAGCAAAGTGATTTGTCTAACCACTTGTCAACCGGGGTAACAAATGCTTGGTCTGCAGCTTCTAAGGCATTGGTGCAGAGGTGCAGAAGCTCTAGAGCAGCACTGCATCTAGAGTATGTAATGAAAGTGTGAATTGCAAGAGGTAGAACAACTTTTTTAACAAGATATAAAAGCTCAGAAACCTCGAGTTCAACAGCTGCAGGATTATGACCAAATGCAAATAGAAGAAAACATGCAGCCCATAGATGCTCCATATTTTCAGATATTGACCCTTGACTGATAACAGCTTGAGCCATTGCTTGTGCAGATCCAGTAACTTCTCTTTTCCGAGAATATAGTTTGATGATTTCATTGAACTGGATGTGTCCATGCTTAGTACTACTCCTTGCAATATTAAATCGTAGCAGTAGGGAAGATGCTTCTAATTCTGATTTTTTGGAGTGTGAGGATGTGAAGCCACATGTTAAAGTTCGCATTACTTTTCTCCAGAAACAAGTCCCCTTTTGCTTTTCAGGTATCTTCTGAGCAGCAAGTGCCAATAAGGAAACTGGAATTGAACAAGGTGCAAACCATCCACTTACCAGTACCATTCTGGTTGCCAAGCTCCTCGGGCCGTCTGCATGATCAAATATTGAGAAACAAACATCAAAGAGTTGCAAGAGGAAAGTGTTCTGCCTGAATGAGAGAGCTTCTTTACCACTCCGTGACATGTCCTTTGAGGGCATTCTGTTTATGGTATCTAAGAGCCTGCTTGGGGTAATAGGTAACTCAGACAAAATTCCACTAACAATGGCAAGGCCCAAAGTTAACCTTCCAAGCTTCTCCTCAATAGTTCTCAGTGCATCAGCCTCTGCAACTGGATAGTCCTTGCCACTTCCTAGCATTAGAGACATTGCTTCAACTCCAGATAAGTATGAAAGTTTTAGAGGTTCCAAGTTCATGACACGAGGAAGGCATGTTGATATGATTACATGCGTTTCTCCACCAAAACGAGGGAGAAGATCCATCACAAGTCTGTGATCCCACCAATCCTTTTCGCTTTCCAAGTTATCAATGATCACAAGATATGGAATTTTTCTCATTAGCTCTTTGCGAACTCTAGTAATAGCTGCTTCTTCCTGCTCTTCAAAGCCTTTTATCCTGGTTTTCTCCAAACTATTCTCAACACTCACATCAACTTCTACAAAGGACCTGAGGTTTAGATAGTTTTGCCTTATATACCTGCTCTCCCCTCCTATCCATAAAACCATCTTATATCTCTGGTGAAATCTATAAGCAAACTCAAGAATAAGTTCTGTTTTTCCAATACCTGAATCCCCTGATACACAGGCAATCCCTTTCCCATACAAAATCTTCATTCCTCTTTTCCTCCTTGTATACTTTCCACCACGTTTGAGCTTCGAACGGTAGTGCCTTTGAGAAAATTCAGTACTTTGCATTTCAATTTCTTTTTCTGACTCCTTCCATAAAACTGGTGCTTTGTCCTCCCTGCTTCCGTTTCCCATGTGTCTTTCATCTAGCACATTACTCTTGCCTCGACCAATAGTCAAATGCCTTCGTTTAGGTCTGGCCTTAAGTTCAATATAGTCTTGCTTTGAATCTCCAGTAACATCACCAAAAAGCATAAATTCCAGTTGTGAAAGCTCTTTCTTCCTACCAATAAAGTTCTCATTACGGGTGAAAGGTAACTCCTCTTCTTTTACTTTCTCCCTCCATTTTGTCAAATGCTCAACTGCACTTCTTCGGCCTAACTTCGTTGCTAATAATGTGACAGCCCTCAATATGCAATCTCTCCAGTTTCCATCATGAGCTTCCAACTTCCATTCTTCTACCCGAGAAAGGCCATAAACAGCATCTTTCCACTCCTGTTCCAACCCTCCATACAAAAGCCAAAGTTCCCCTCCATGTTTTTCCCACAGCTCACCCCTCTTTTCAATTATATCCCTCACAAGACAATCAGCAGGACTCAAATCAAAGTATATTGGGACCAAGTTCTTTTTGCCAGAGAAAAATTGCAGCTCCTCAATGGTGTATGGGTTCTTGAAAGACTTCCTTGTTACAATCACTATCCCAAAAGAAGCAACATCCATGGCTTTCTCAGCAATGCCAAGCTTACAAGAGTTCCTACATCCAGCCCTATCCGATACAAAGCAACTTATGCCTTGAATTTCTAACTCAGCACACAGCCAATTGGCAAATCTTAGTAAAGAAGGTTTGCGACCATGTAATCCTATAAACACATCACAGCTCTTCAGTCTATAAGAAGAAAGTGATCTAAAACCTGGTGTTGATGATGTTCTTTGGTTTCTTCCTTTCTTACTTCGTTTCTCCTTCTGTCCAGAGTAACCATCATCATAGTGATGGCAGTAACTAGTTATAGTGCTACTAGAGATGCCAACTGAGGACGATATACGATCAAGGTTCTGCAAATCACCTGCATTACAAAAAGCAGGAGATGCAGCTACCTCAGATAAGCCACATCCAACATTTACTAGAGATTTTGGTTCTGGAATCCCTGAACTTGTACTGGCGGTAGCAGCATCTAGATGAATTCTGTCACTTGGAGCATCAGGTCTCAAAGACTCTGATAAATGACATGATGATGTTCTTGGAGAGAAAAAGGGTGACTGGTTGGCAGAAAAAAAAGCTGAAGATGATGATGACATATTCCTTGAACTCATTGCTGTCAAGGGTCCAAATGTGGAGCTCTCTTCTTGAATATCCATCCTTGCAGTTGAAGATGGTATGTTTCCCAATTCTGGAAGATATCATATCATATGCACACACAATTTATTGGAAGAGGTCCTCTGAAGTTGAGATAATGAGTTCGTTAGTCAGAAGATGTATTCCAAATTTTCAATCATCCAATATGGCATAAAGAAGCAAAACTGGAAGTTCTATGTTGTATGTTTATGGTACTTGAAATAATATAAAAGAACAAAGTAAAAAGAAAGGGGAAACGCCAGACAAAAAGTCTTCTACACTATGGTTGGTTGATGTAAAAAGGCCAAAAAGAAAGAAAGAAAGTGGAGGGAGAGAAATTAAGAAAAAGTTAACGGCGGCACCATCATCTACGTTATACTTCTATAGATCTCAAAATTTCCAAAAAGGAAAAATAAAGTAATTCGTCAAATCATAAACAGTAATTACCATTGGTAGAAAGCAAGTCAACTTAAAAAGAATATTTACTTATACAAAAAGATTTTGAAACTGAACACACAAAGAAACGTAGCACCAATTTGGGACATTTACTGTTATTGTTATCTACAGAAAGACTCCAAAAATCCGAAATCCACAAACTCAACTCACTTACAAACTCAGAATCCGTGGCTAAGTAATTCACCAACCCAATTCAAAAGCAAAAAAGAAGGCATCATTAAGAAGAAAAACATAACACTACCCACGATTGGCAAAATCCTTAATTGACAAAACTTTAGCACTGAACACTTACTATGCTGCGAAACTGAAACACCATGCCGTACATTCACTCTTTTGCTTCCAACCCACCAGTCTCTTATCACTGCAGAAGTCAAAACGATCCAAGCATTTTAATTTCTAAACACTTTAACAGTGACAAAAACGAACTCAAGCAAACCACTTAATTAAGAAACACATCATTACCATAAATGCCAAAAAAAATTCAAGCTAAGTTCTTTGCAATGAGTGAAGTGAGAAACTATGGTGTCAGACTCATACACCCGTTTGAGAAATAGAAGAAAAGGAGATGCAGTGATTGAAAATGAACAAAAAAGTGTCAACCTTTGTGAACAACTGTTGGTGGGGTGCAGAAACTATAGCTGTTTTTTTATAAGCATGTTCCTTTGTAAGTGTAAAAGACTCTTTATCTTTCGCTGTAGGTTGTGTAACAGTGGTTTGACTTGTGAAAATCTTTGGCTACGGTAGAGTTTTTATTATGCCTGCAAGGCTCAGAAATGGGTTGTGAAGGGAGAAGACGGCAATGGATCTGACTTGGGTATGGTGGAATCGAAGTAGGCTCCACACCCATTTATAAAACTGTTAAATCCTGCAGATAGCCACTATGATTTCGGCATTTGGATTCACATTGTTAAAGTTCTTGGCCTAGTTTTTTTTATCTGTGGGTGCTTTTAAAGTTAGCTTTGATTAAGATAGTCCAGAGCAAAACGTGGTGTTTTGTACTTTGCTGGATGTGTGTGTGACATAGGAACTGACGTGTTGAGGTTTTAACTTGTAAGGAATCGCTTGGCTTCACTGCCACCCCCTTTGTGATTCATTTTCCCCTTACTGTGCAGTTGTTAAATTGATCATGAGAGCACTAGAGTTTGGTAATGACATGTTTATTTGGTTGCTATGAAATTTGTGGCGTCAAGACTATCTTTCAATAGCACTCATGATGATAAATCAACCTTTTGACAGCGTTTGAATTCACGTTTGATCGTTTTTATCCAATTTCAAACATGTTAATAATCCATGTTTAAATTTGCAGAAAAAAAGTATCACATGTGTGGATGTAATATAAAAGATACTCTTTGTTGCGTTGAAATTCAAGTGTGTCTACATGTAGATCTAATATATTAGTAGTTGATTCGAGAAGACATAATTCTTTGGCAAATTGTGATGCAACGACCAAATCCCACAATTTTTTTTTCAATAAACAAATTATTGTGAAGAAATTTCTTAAGATCTGTTTATGTTTACAGTCTCGATCTTTGTTGTTTGAAAACATTACAAAAAAAATCATTGTAAATGTTTCGAAAATTGGAATTTATGTTCCAAACTCGGTTACATGCATCATACCAATGGGTACTCATTATAAGTTGATGCACATATTTACTAAGACTTTGTTAGTTTTCTTTTTCTTTTGTCGTGTTCAGATTCGGATCATTAGCATTTTCCTTTTTCTAGTTATAATTAAAACTTATGATTGATGCTATACTCTGGTTTGGAGAATTATTCAACTTCCATTTAAGGATTCCCCCAACAAGAAAGATAAGCACACCAAAATGTTTCGGTTTCTTCGTGACTGAAAAGAGAAATGCAATCATATTCATCGAGAGGAAAGGGAACTAATTTTCCAGTGAAATTAATTTTATAAAAGCCAATGAAAACGATTAAATAACCAAAAATTATCAAACATACGTTGAAGTCGAGGGATTTTTCTTAGAAATTGAGTGTATAAGAGCAGAACGAACAACATTACTTTTCATTTTTTATCGCTAAATGAATTGAATATAGTTTCATTAACAAAAAATTATATTTTGAAAATAGAACATAATCTTTTTATACTATTGTAAGTTAAAAAAAATTTATACTTGATCTTAACTTTTTTTAACTTAAATTTAATAAGTTTTAATTTATTATTTTACTCATGGTTAAACGTAAGTTAAATAAAATTTATTATTAGTCAGAGAAAAAAAAATTCAATGTAATATATATATATATTATACTTTATTTACTTAAGGCTAAAGTGAATATTTTATAAAAAGATTCATAAAAAAAAAATTAAGTACAAATAAGAAAGAGCCTGTCTTTAACTAAAAAAGCATACTTAATTATTATACGTAGTTCATACTTTTTATATTCATTCAAAAAATATATATAACTTTTAAATATTATATTTATCGAATGAATCATTACTTGTTGAGTTTGTGTATGTTTGTTTACTGCTCATGTAATTTTTTAATAAAGAAAAAATATACTTGCTTTGGAGATTGAATATAATTTTTTTTTTATTATTATTATTGCTGTAAGATCACGGATTGTATATCTGATTTAATTTAAATTGTTAAAATATTTTTTTTCTTACACATTTTCAAGGATATATTCTTTCCGAACAATTAAACCTTTTAACATTATAGAAGAGCTCTTTTAGCACTTCGTCCAAACTTATTTATTATGTAATATTTAAAATCATGTTAAATTATTTTTTGTATACTTAGGTACCTAAAGTGACGAAAAGAATCCAACAAAAGCAAAAGCTAAATTGGTAAAAAAGGACTCGAGTAGAAGACAAAAAATACAGACATGTAAGAATTTTTTTTAAGGGGAAAAAAACAATTTGGCCAAATTTAAGATTGCATTTTTATTTTAGAAAAAAAAAAAAAACAAGTATTTAACACAGAGGTGAACACAGGTGGTACCATTTTGAAGATAAAATAATAACCTATTTGAGCATGCATTTTAGATCAACATATGTCTTTTAGATTCCTTTAATAAATAAATCAAATTCAATATAAAACCTTTATTAATTTTATTTTAAAGTATAAACAAATGTTGAAGATAAAATTATATACATGTAAATATTTAATTGGTTTTAATAAAAGCTTTGTAATTTTGATTTCTTTAACCTAAATTAACATTTTCCATGTTAAATTTGTCATAAATTTAGTAAGCATTTACATTATTACACGTGACAAATTCTAATAATACATTCGTTTGAATATAACATTAAACATTTTTTACAAAAACATAGTTTTTGTGATTAAAAGATTAAAAAAATATTTCACGAAGTATTTTTTTTTTTTCTAAAAATAGATATCAACCACATAAATTATGTTTAATTAAAAAAAATTTAAAAACATATTAGTGATTTTTTTATAAAAATATTAACTTCAACTTTAAACTTAATTTTAAGTAACTAATAAAGAAATTTCATTAAGAAAACATTCATTATATTATTATAACTTAATGTAATGAATATTTTTAATAAAAATATTATTTTTTATATATTTAAAAATATTGATATTAATAATATTTTTTAAGTAAATTTAAAATATGTGACCATGCTTGAACAGCAACAGAAAAGGACAGATGGATTGACTTTGAGGAAAATTCATTGGGGCAATTGAAGGTCAGTCCAAAAGGGTCTTTTTAATATATGGGGAACATATGCCCCCATGTGAGTGACACCCATACGGATTTACGGCTCCGATCTGTTACCATTAACAATTCTTTGTCCTATCAACGGCTCTGATTCAGACACATTCTACTAAGCTAAGATAATGAGACAAAAATAGTTTGAATTTGATTTGAGTCCATATGTCCCAAAGCTGTGTCCCCACAATCTTTTAGGCCAGAACGGGAGGGGCACCACTTCATCATTAATGGCCCCAACACCTTAAAATATTACTACTCTTTTTTAACCTACTCCACCATAAACAATTCAAAACCAAACCATGTTCATCACTTAAACCCAAACAATTTTAGTTTAAATATATCATTAGTTTCATCCAATTTCATTCAACGTTTGTCAATTTAATTAATATTTTTTTAAATTACAATTTAGGATATATAATAAAAATATATATATTACTTTTAAAAATCAACTATAAAAATTATTTTAATTTTATTTATGGTCTCGAATATATGTTTTAATAAATATAGTTGTATAATTAAAAAAATTCTTTTTAATAGAAATTTATTATTTATTATTATTTAGTACATGTCATTAAATACATGTTAAAATTTCGTTTAACAAATTTATGATTTACTTAGTTTATATAATCATTTAACAAAGAGAAATTACTAAAAGTTTATTTTACTTAATTAAATAAATATTTAATCTCGTAACTTACTATTATTATTATTATTAGTTCTTTATATTTTAATATATTCTAATCATACTTAATAGTTTAAATTTAAATCAATCAAACATTAAATCGAATCGAACGAAAGAACACTGATGGGTGCAAGTATTCTAGAGGGAAAAAATAGTTTACGCATAACATGTGAAAATAATTTTTTTTCC